CGAGAGCCGGGGTGAGGACAGGCACAGAATGGAAGGGTTCAGTAGTGGGGGGAGGGAGCGCAAGTTGTTGGGCGGCCGAACTGAGAGGCCCAAAGTCACGCCAGGATTGGATGCCATTCGGCCACCTGCCGTCGAGGCGTCTCAATGGCAGTTTTCCACTGCTGGCGGGCGGCATCACTGGCCTGGGCACTGATATTGACGTGGCCAATAACCTTGCTCGGCGTATCTCGCTCCCAGTTAACCACACGGAAGTGCAATCTTAGGTTCTCCAGTTTAGCCTGTTGAGGTATTTCCAGGGCAAAGGCTTCGTTAAAGACCGGAGCTGAGGTTCTCTTCTTCACATGCGTCTTCTTTTTGGCGATCCGGCGATTACCCTCCATGAAATAAATTTTCACATATGGATTGCCTGTACAAGCGGTAAGCGAGAGTAAGGATTTGAGAGAGCCTACAGAACATAGGTTAGGAATAAAGCCCCTCGGATTTCCCCAAAACTTTTTGATGGTATTTAAATGGAAAAATTCTTCCGATAAAGAGGAAGGTGAGTAACGTGACCAATGTAGTCCTATTTGTTGTCCGCAGATATATATATTTCAACTCCAGACATGGGGATCCTAAATGCTTTAAGTTAAATGAGGTTGGCTATCTAGCCTAACGTGTTCGGATGTTATGCTAGTAAAGATAGGCAACTCAAATTTGCGCGCAAGCGACTTTCATCAACCGGCTGACCACATAAGGAAATTCTAACTTTCCATTTTTTCCTTGTGGTCCGGTATAAGGAAAATCCCTGCCATTTTGTTAAAGGAGTTCGCGCAGTCATCTGACTCAAGCAGCGAAACTCGCCTGATGACCTGCGTCACACTGATATTCTCTCAGAAATTCATGTGTTTGGGTGCTAAATTTCAGCGTCAGTGCAGTCGAGGATACTGTTCGTCCGCGTCGCACAAGACAGTGTGCCAGTATGAAGCAAATCGGACTTCTTCAGAGTTCTGCAAGCTTTTTTATATTTCGAGGAGGAAAAATTATTGTGACACAAATGAACTTCTATTCAATGCTTACTGGCGTATTAAAGAGCAACCCTATCTATCAAAAAATTCTTAAATTCACCACCATTTCCTCTAAATAAATTCACAAGACGTCGTATCTTCTCTTAGTTTACTTGGGCCCTAGGGGAAGACATGTTCAAAGTCTGTCGAGATTTACTGATATGAAGTGAAAATGTCGGAAAAATTAAGTTTTAAGCTAGGTTTTCTCTATATGTAGAGTAAATACGGACTCCTCCAGCTATCTATCAGAAAACAAAATTTTACAATAAAAAGTCGTAAAAATTTAGTTTAATTCAGCTAAAATGTTTGCACATATATAGCACAAGCGGGTATTCATCAAAACGCCCTGGATGCTTTTTCTGAAAAGGTTACTCGCGTTGGTAAGGTGATTCCTATTCACGTTGGCTATGTCGCCCCTGATGGCGGCCTTCATGGAGTTCCCAGTATAGTGAGTATGCATGTCGGTCTTTCTTTGGAAGACCCCCAGACGTAGAAGTCCAAAGGTTTAAATTAGACGAGCTAGGAGATCAAATGTCGGGAGTGGTTTGAACATGAGCTGTCACGTATAGCCAACAGATCTAGGGGTAAAATGTTATAAAATTAACGATGATTTTACTATTGATATTTAGTCTTCTTGTTCGGCCGATGCCGACTTTGCCTAGGATTCCGTCTGAAGCGACGTGGAGAGGGGAACCAACGTACATACTCAAAATACCAAGAAATCGAGACGACAGCCATTAGGAGCGTTATGCCTAACGTCGACAAGAATTATCTGCTCAATCCGTTGTCGATTCGAAAGCTGCACTGGGGCACTAAAGGAGGCTGGAGGTGGTTTTGGTGAATCATCCTGTGTCTTTCATAGTTAACATAACATGTAATTGAGAAGAAGATTCGATCGCTGTAACATGTAATCAAATTATATGTGCATGTATTTATTTTCTGTTGCATATTCAAACTTTTGTTGTTGTAAAATGTTTTTTTACGATAGCTGACGCTTCCTGGACTATTTATTTAAAGGCCACAAAAATAGTCACCAGGATAGAGGCAAAGGAAAGTGGGAAGTAAGCACAGACAACGCACCGGAAGTGTCTGCAATATCAGCCTTGGGAAGACCCTCGGCCTTGAGGACCACTACTGTCATCCTATTGGCTGCAGGCAAGTAGCAGAGACTAATCAACAGAGAGCCCCGATTTGTGTCTGTTGTCTAAAATGCAAAAAATAATGCTAAAGGAGTAGCCATTTCTGCATGATTATAGTCAGGAAAGGAACTCTTTAATACTACGCCAAGCTTTGTTTCCATCGAGATGCACTTACTGGGAGGTGTGAACGCCTTTTTTCATAATATACCCCCGAAAGAAAACTGACAATTATGACCCGGAAGGCTTCATTGGGGTCCCCACGATGTTCCGAATTAACCATGTGCGCCAGAATAGAGCTATTTATACTCGTGACTTCACCCCTTCTCAGCCATGCCGGAAAGTGTTCCTTTATTGTTTTAGATAGACGTCGACTCGTGTGACTACTATAACCTGCTCTACAGGAGCAAGTAAAAGAGTAGATGCACATGGAGGTGGTCTGAGCTGGTAACCTATCCTTACCTTTTCCATGCAAGACCGGGCTGGGTGAGAATAATACCCAACTCTTCACTGCTGGGAAGGTTCGTGACACGGCTTGGTCAAGGCATCTTTTCAGGAGTTCACTTGCCTTGTCCGCTCGAAAGGGGACTTTGAGGAATAGTGTTGTCCTTTCCATGGAAAGTGTGGTGGGTTTTATTTGTTTCGCAGCCATATTCCTTGTAATAAATCCCTAAGGATATGCGCTCTCGCGAAGTAGGTCCTGAATTTTCTTGAGCTCTTCCTCAATAATTTCTGCTGAACAAATTTTTATGGACTTTTGCACTAAACAGTGAACTAGATTTCGCTTCCGTTTGAGGAGTTTAAAACTGTCGGCGCCTATCCAAAAGAATAAAGAAACACCTCCCGGCATGGCTGAGAAAGAATGAAGTCAGAAGCATAAACAGCTGTCTTCTGGCGCATATGGTTGAGTCCGGATATCGGGTGGACCCCAGCAAAGCCTTCCGAGTGATAATTATGAGTTTGTTACTCTGGAACACGGTACTAAGGGAAGAAATAAGGCAACAACAACTGAGCACACGTTATCTCAAACTGAGTAGCGATCAGGAGGAAACGGACAGAAGATGCAACTTAAACCGCAATTTCCTTCCTCCTCAGTATCATAAAGGGGCAATAACTCGGAAAAAGTTAATTAAAAACTTG